TGGGTTCAGGGTTTAGGGCCCAGGGGATCTAGGGCCTAGGGTGTGATGTAGAGGCCTTAAAGTAAATTACAGATTAGAAAAGGATCTTGGGGCGTATTTGGTCTACTAAGCCACCGCGGGAATACTACAACCATTTATTCCGACCCTGTAATTGCCGCAAGAAATAGCAGCCGAGGCACAAATGAATGAATCCGGCCACCACAGCAAGCAGCGGCGTTGCCAGTGTGGTCAGAGCATACTTCCCGACCGGCGACGCAGGAGCCACGCATGAGAAGGACAGCACGTCCAAGTCCAGGGTCATGAATGAAAACCTACCAGAAAAGGTTGGGCTCAGGGTTTAAGGGGATTAGGGGTTTAGGGGTTAGGGTTTTACCTGACAGGGATTTTGCACAATATCCTCAAACTACACACATCCAAGCTTTCCAGGATTGCCAAGGGCGTATGGGTGGCAGGCTTTGGGCTGCTATTGTCTGTTTCCGAATATGGTCCCAGGTCAATCCAGCGTCAGATTTAGCACCTTTTTAACCTTTAGAGCGGATGATATAATAGGTATAATGATATAATGGGCTCTGGGAACCTGCATTCCGAAGGCTTCAAGTGCATACTGCCCCATAAGTACAAGTCGGCTCAAGAATCAAGAACCACTTGTATTGCTACGAGAAGCATGTTCATGACACCAGCCATGGGCTGCTCCCACTGAATGTCGAACTTGGTGATGACTGCCAGCCTGCAAGAACGATGCACGAGACAGGACGGCTGCACAGCGCCACGTGTGCTAATGTCTTACTATACACCAAAACCTGAAAAAAGAAAACAAACAATCACTAGACCTCGCGTTGCCCCCCGAAAGAAGCCCCTTGAAGGAACCCAGCAGGAACCCTTAAAGGAGGCTTTCAAGGATCCCTAGCAGGATCGATTTCAATTTCACTCATGGCTTGTGTGTTGGGGATCTGGTCCAAACTCCCACGGTGTAAGGTCAAGGTTTAAATACTATACTCTGGCTCGTCAATCGTTGCAGTTTTGCTCTTATCCCTAAGCTCCCCAAACCCACTATCCTGTGATACCCTATAGGCCCTAAACCCTCAAAAAAGCTCCAAGTACCCGAAGCCAAATCCAAGCTGTTCACAAACCTTAAATGTTCTCAAAGTTTTGTACTGTAGGGTATAAGATGTTGGTCTGGGGTTTAGGTTTAGGATGTAGGGGAACCATAAACCTTTAGGGCTTGAGGTCTAGCGTTGAGGGTTTAGGCAGAAGAAATCAGTCTTCCGAGGACTTCAGGCTTTACGACGTACGTTTTGGGTTTGGGGTGTAGACTGTCTACCCGATACCGGGCTTGTACTTGAAGGGCCCCCGGTATACTGTACCTATGTTAGAGCCCGTATATACTGTATAGGCACCCTAGATCCCACGCCCAAAGCCCCAGGACAGATACCTCCATAACAAGACCAAAGGAACAAGAACACAGCAGCCAACTTGCCAGTGCAGAATAGCCCTGCGCATGCAGTCATGTTGGGCATGTTGTGTCAGGGCTTCGTGAAAAGGCTTTACAAGGTGTTGTTGAGGCTCTGCAGCCCTTTAAGTTAAGGTTGGAGTGTGTATGACAGATGGCTTCCGAATTCCTAAGTCCCGCGGGCTGAACAAGTCTAGTAAGCCCCAAAATGGGGGTGATGGTCGGTGGGGAACCCCATACAAAAGTCCTGATTTAGGGCTTCATTAGAAAACCCAACCTACCTTTAATCCTAAAATAAACCCTTAACCCCAAACTCTCAACCAAGCCTACATGCTTGAAGCCCTATAAACCCTAAACAACAAAGCCTATAAACCCTAGACAATATAAAGCCTATAAACCCTAAACAAGAAAGCCTAGACCACGTTATGGGCTAAGCGACTGTTGGAGCACCGTCACGAGCTGGCTCAGCGCCACGAAGATTACGAACAAATGGCCTGGCTTGGGGGGCTTCGTGGATTAAGGCGTTTTGGGGTTAAGAGTCTTGTTTAGTATTTAGGGTAAGGCTTTGAGTTTCGGGTCTTTAGGCTAAGGGTGTGAGAATTTCGAAACAAAATTGGGGGTTAAGCTTCCAGGACTGCCCAGGTTTTCGGAAAAGTCCTTATGGCTGTGTTCACTTCAGGCAGTTTTGTGCACGTTTTCCCATGATTTGAAATCAAGACATACGGTTGATGCTATAAATCCTGC